TATTGCACAATGCAAACTCATTGTCAAATAGTCCTATCTGTCATTACAATTTCTTTTTGCAGTAATTCTACAGTGTTGTTCTGGTAATTTCTTGTTATCATCTATATCTTTTGTGAGATTCAACATTGTGATTCACATCCACTGACATATTTGTTTTCAGTGATTTGTGTGTAGTTGGCAATCACTCTTAGAAGTTGCTTGATGGCTTGAAATTTCTCAATACTTTTTCCATTGGCATAGATTCGTTGACCCACATCAGTTCAGAATATTCTGCGTTATTAAAAGAGGATAAATTGGAGATGTTTTTAACAATTTTCTAACTTTTGACAAATGTCTGCTATAGAGTTTGGTTGCTAGTTGCGCTTAGATACAGTTATATGGTGTTTTTATAAACTATTTAGCAGCTACGCATGTAACTATATGGAAAGCTAAGTTTCTTTTAATGGGACTCCTAGCTTCAGTTCTTTGGTCAATACGTGAACACACACTTCCACTTTCATGCTTTGTCAAAAGTGGGTACGATTAAACAAACAAATAATCTGTGTTTCATGCTTAAATCTACATAAAATGGTAATGGACCAGATTCATGCATCTCAATCCTTTATACTTTGGGAAAATTAAGCATCATCATTTATGAAATCTGTGTAAGCTTGTCACATAAGTACCGAAATAATTTTATTATTGAGAGTTCAATTTTGCTTTCTTTGTACGTGTATAATTCAGGATATTTTCCACTTGAACATTTGTTTATTTTATTTTTTTNATTCAACATTGTGATTCACATCCACTGACATATTTGTTTTCAGTGATTTGTGTGTAGTTGGCAGTCACTCTTAGAAGTTGCTTGATGGCTTGAAATTTCTCGATACTTTTTCCATTGGCAAAGATTCGTTTACCCACATCAGTTCAGAATATTCTGCATTATTAAAAGAGGATAAATTGTAGACGTTTTTAACAATTTTCTAACTAGACAAACGTCTGCTATAGAGTTTGGTTGCTAGTTGTGCTTAGACATAGTTATGTGGTGTTTTTATAAACTATTTAGTATGCATGTAACTATATGGAAAGCTAAGTTTCTTTTAATGGGACTCCTAGCTTCAGTTCTGTGGTCAATACATGAACACACACTTCCGCTTTCATGCTTTGTCAATAGTGGGTATGATTAAACAAACAAATAATCTGTGTTTCATGTTTAAATCTACATAAAATGGTAGTGGACCAGATTTATGCATCTCAATCCTTTATACTTTGCGAAAATTAAGCATCATCATTTGTGACATCTGTGTAAGCTTGTCACATAAGTACCGAAATAATTTTATTATTGAGAGGTCAATTTTGCTTTCTTTGTACATGTATAATTCAGGGTATTTTCCACTTGAACATTTGTTTATTTTTTTTTTTATTATTTCTATTTTTTGCAGTTGTTTCGAGAGGTCAGGATCATGAAGTTTCTTGACCATCCCAACATTGGTAAATATATATTTTTTGGGTTTTACTAAATGAAATGTCATGTACATTGGTGTGAGATCTAGTCGATGTCTTTAGAAATTCATGTAGTTTGCACTACAAACAAAGCCCACTTCGCAGGCTTATCATTTACCTTTTGTTCCCTGCAGAANAGTTCTACATCATCTGGCTCTAGAACGAGTCGGAACCGCTCTTCAACCTCGAATGCGGAGGAAGTCCACATAGGCAAATATCGTCTGATAAAAACTATTGGGAAAGGGAATTTCGCTAAAGTGAAACTCGCCAAGCATGTACCGACGGGAAAGGAGGTAAATATTATATCGTTCTCTATTTACAGTGGCAAATGCGCTTGTGGATTCATCGCGTTCGATCGTCTTGCTTATTTGCTCGCTGCGAGGGAGAGAGTGTAATAATTAAACACAGACCGGCCCTACGCCTTCACTAAGTTTTATATTTTCCCGTTCAAAAGGTGGCCATCAAGATTATTGACAAGACGCAGCTTAACCCGAGCAGCTTGCAAAAGGTATGTTTTATATTATACGAAACGACGAAATCGGTAGAGAGTAGTAACGTGTTTTCGCGTCGATCAAGCTAGCTATTTCGCTAGCTTGTCGCATGTAATTACGTATTCGAAAGCAACGTTGGAACCTTCGGTTTGTTTTGAAGAGCGCATCAAACCACGTAATTTACCGTTTTCGTCGTGTATAACTAGCAAAAGTAGAGATTTCGTTGCCTACCTTACAGACCCAAGATCTCGATGGCACAGCGCCCGTTGAGCTACAGCTGTACACCTTGACTTTGTTGATTTTCCTCCGAGCGTACGTTGATGTGTGGGAAAAAATTCTGTATTCTAAACTGAAATTGTTCGTTTACATATTACTGTCAGTTTAATAGAAGACTCTGCTAACATTCGCATTAGAGCACCACCAAGACTTGGTAATTTCTTTCGGATACAAGCTTAATAATGTTTTGAATGAAGCGATCGTAGAAGGAGAAATAGTGTTTTTAAAATCGAAAGGTTAACCGAAGGTTTTTTTCACGGGCTTATTTTATTTGTTCAATTTTTGCTGTGAAGTTGTATTACATCGAAGTATAATTAGTTGCATGGCGAAAGATTGCCCGTTGTTAAATCTGTTAGTTGGGGTAAAAAATTCTGTAACGTTGTAGGGACGGACTTCTGACGGTACAAAGATTTTGTGACGCGAAGTGAAAATTTTAGACAGCATCTCAGGTTGTGTTTTATTAATAAAGTGTTGGTCCATTTTGTATTGCACGTGTTTTCTTAAGATTTCCTCGGTCGGTTGGCTAATGCAACTTTTAAATCGGACGAATGAAAACTGTTGCCGAAATCCCCGCAGATTTACTCGGAATTTCTTGGGTCAGTAGCCTTGCAAATCGCGTGCACATTTTTCAAATAAATGGACAAAGTTCTTTCCATCCTGTGTAGTAATGTGGATTGATAAAAATCGAATCGGTCGGTTACCCTTGTATATTTACAAAACTGTGCGGTAGACGCAGTGGTTCGGCAGGGATTTTTCCACTCATCGATAAAATAATATTTTCCGTTGGTAATTTGTCCTCGCTGCGTGTACTAGAGTGAGGGTTTTACGTCACAGTTGAAATGTCTTAAAAGGTGTTATGTTATTTATCCATGGGTTTTTGTACACCACACGTCGGCTTATCCTTCAAGCAGCTGTGAAGAGAGCAAGATCTAGACCTGATATTCTAGTAGCTCTTTGTAAAATATTGTTCCTAAGTCGGTACACTGTTAGATTAAGAATATATCTTGTTGTTCCATTATTAGCATCTGCAGGAAAGTGAACACAATATGCCACCATTATTTTTGTCCTATAGTCTTTGTACCTTGATGTGCTAAAAGGATTCTTTGCAGACACTGTAGTTGTAATGGCACATCCTGGGTGAAATCCAATGTTGTTGGCCCTTTTGTGTCTCAAAGTTTTGTCAGTGAATTTAGGAACCAATTTTGTTCCTGGATTGGGGACAACCCCAAATTGTTTCCAGATAGCAGTGGAATTATTTGGTGACTTTATCATCAACTGTTTGTTCTTTAAAAGTTATGTTAAGTCTGTCAAGTTATTTTTTATCACATTGGTATATCTATGCATAGCCCTTCAAAAGACAGTAATTTTAATTAGTTCTTCTGAATAACAGCATGTTCAATAATAATTTTTCACTTTTTATTTCCTGCCCTGTTGTTACACTTGAGCCAGGTTTTCACATGGTGGTTGTTGATACCCTTCCAACTCAAGTTGTGTTTGTCTTTCATTAACACAGATGATGAATAGCTTCATCTTCCTTAAATAGTTTTACTGCTGGTTAATCATCCAGATGTGAACTAGTAGTTAGCTAAAACTTTGGTTTTGTTTGTCAAATTCATCTTGTGGTTGGTCAAGATTCAGTGTATCAGCCCCAATTACAGCTGTAGTGCTTGTGTAGAGCTCTGCCTCAATTATTGTAGATCTTGTAGGCAGAAGCAGTTAGCTTTGTGAGCTTTCCCCATTAATTTTTTTCACAAGTAAACTCATATATCAAGGCTGCAAATAACAGTCGGTCATCGGACAATTGTCCGGTAAATCTGAGATTTTGACAGGTAAAAGCTTAGCCTGGTCGGACACTCTGACGGGGCATTTCTGATAAACGAAAAATATCTTAACTGGAAATTTGTGGCCAAATATGGCACAATTTTTTTTATTATACTGCCACACAATACTATGCAAAAAAAGCTTTGTTATTATAGTTTCACCTTTATTCCATTTCTGAGCAATAATTTTAACACGTGCAATGCGTCGTCTCAAATGTCACATCGAATTGTGCTAGTATCGATTTTATACTCAGTTTATTTCGCTTTTTAGTCATTCCAATTTGCAACCAACATTTGGGCAGAGGTTCTACTCTGAAATACCAAAATGTCTCAATCCAGTCTGGTCCGACCAGACTGGCTTTTTGTCAGGCCAAAACTTATCTTTGGCCTGACAAATGACTTGCTCGTAGACAAAAATTATTTGCAGGCTTGTATATTGTTTGAGGCATATAATGGTGTGTTGCACCATAAAGCAGGACTTTTGTATGATACTGTGATTGCAAAATCTATATGGTACATATGCACATTTCATTGACGTCATCATTTGCATGAAAATATTTCATTGATTTGTACATGTACATTTAGCATTTTTTTGCTTGTGTGTTTCTTATCATAAATTGAATATTCACAACCGGTTGCATTTTGAAGACGTTACAACTCAAGTGAATTGTGAAGCTGTAAATTCAAGCATACATCTATAAGATTTTCACATGTAGTAAAGTAGCACGTTTTGTTTTAAGGTTGCGTAAAAATTACTTCTTGTAATGATACAATATCATCAACAATTGTCTAGATCAGATATGATGCACACTACCCACAGTATAAAAAATTAACCACAAACATTGGAAGCAGACAAAAAGATGTTGCATTGAAATGTTTGTGTGTCTCGTTAATAACCCAGTTAGTATTTGATGTGATCACGTAGCTAAATGGAAGAAGCAAGTCATCAGTCAGCTACTTGTCTATTGATGTTACATGGGCCCTGAGTACAACAATATTCTAATGTAAAGTTTCTTAAGCTTTTACTCTCAACACTTAAGATACCAAATCGTCTGTTGTGTATACCTGGGGTGGTAAAACAGAGTTTTCTTGTTGCATTTATGAAAATGTACTGGTTCTTTATATTTAAGTGCAGTAATTGTATTAGATATTACTTGTAATTTGCCATGATGTGAACAGTATTAATATAGCCTGTCGGTGCATGTGTACAGCAACAAGTTAGATATTGAAGAAGAAGCACATTTGATATTTTTAAGTGCTTGCATATTGATCTGTTTGCAGTTTTTAAAACAAGGAAGAAGTACAGCTTAAATTGAAACTTCAGTGAGCTTTTCTTCCATGTAGCTTCTGGTTTTCATACACTTGTAAATGGGTACAAAACCTTTTTTCTTGTCAACAATTAGTTGTGCTGGGTTTCTTTCTTCCTTATTAGGTGCATAAGGTCTGGTCAACTGGTTTTGTCATTTATAACAAATATATTTAATAATCACTGTGTGTAATTAAAGGTTTTAAAAAAGAAAAGATTGAGACAGCTATCTAGTCTTTTGTCTTAATCCCGATTATTAGCCTTTTAATTCCCGAAAGTAATCAGCATCAAGTTTTTCATTGAAATACCAATTCATTTTCAATACCAATTCATTTTCAAGCATGAAATTGAAAGCATGAAATTACAAAAAATTATTCTCAAGGATGTGTTCCAAACTATGCGAGCTAATGCGAGCTAACACATTTCCCATTGCATACATTATACTTTTATCATTATCCTAATTCAGCCTCAAAATTGAAACTAAGAAATGAATTGGTTTGTCTAGCAATGCACGCAGAAATTTCAATTAATTGTTTTTTGTATTTTCAAAATATAAAGTTTTTCTGTTATTATTATTTTTATTTAGTTGTTTTTGCTTTTAATAGCAGGCTGGCACATTATATGAGGTACTTAAGTGCCTTTTATTTGTGACTTAGTTTCAATCATTTTCCTTGATGTTGCTTAGTACTAATGTGTGGAATGTCGTAGATAATGCAGCAACGAACTTATACATGTTGACTTTGTATGTGTTTAATAGAAACTTTGGTGGGAGGATTAATTTATATTTTGGTACAAATGCAGGTGTAGTGCTTTTGGTAATTGTGTCTTCTGAGAAAGATCAGATTACAATGTACATGTACATGAATTTTAAAACATTTCTGAATTGCAGATGTTAGTTTTTTTTACATTTTCCACGTTGTGTATCATGTGCTCTATTAATATTGCACAATGCAAACTCATTGTCAAATAGTCCTATCTGTCATTACAATTTCTTTTTGCAGTAATTCTACAGTGTTGTTCTGGTAATTTCTTGTTATCATCTATATCTTTTGTGAGATTCAACATTGTGATTCACATCCACTGACATATTTGTTTTCAGTGATTTGTGTGTAGTTGGCAATCACTCTTAGAAGTTGCTTGATGGCTTGAAATTTCTCAATACTTTTTCCATTGGCATAGATTCGTTGACCCACATCAGTTCAGAATATTCTGCGTTATTAAAAGAGGATAAATTGGAGATGTTTTTAACAATTTTCTAACTTTTGACAAATGTCTGCTATAGAGTTTGGTTGCTAGTTGCGCTTAGATACAGTTATATGGTGTTTTTATAAACTATTTAGCAGCTACGCATGTAACTATATGGAAAGCTAAGTTTCTTTTAATGGGACTCCTAGCTTCAGTTCTTTGGTCAATACGTGAACACACACTTCCACTTTCATGCTTTGTCAAAAGTGGGTACGATTAAACAAACAAATAATCTGTGTTTCATGCTTAAATCTACATAAAATGGTAATGGACCAGATTCATGCATCTCAATCCTTTATACTTTGGGAAAATTAAGCATCATCATTTATGAAATCTGTGTAAGCTTGTCACATAAGTACCGAAATAATTTTATTATTGAGAGTTCAATTTTGCTTTCTTTGTACGTGTATAATTCAGGATATTTTCCACTTGAACATTTGTTTATTTTATTTTTTTTATTTTTATTTTTTGCAGTTGTTTCGAGAGGTCAGGATCATGAAGTTTCTTGACCATCCCAACATTGGTAAAGATATATTTTTTGGTTTTTACTAAATGTAATTTCATGTACATTGGGTTGGTGTGAGATCTAGTCGACATCTTTACAAGTTCATGTAGTTTGCACTACAAACAAAGCCCACTTCGCAGACTTATCATTTACCCTTTGTTCCCTGCAGAAAGCTGGAAACTCATAGATATTCTCCTTTATTAATCCTCTAAACATGGACGCTCTCTTGATTCAATTTTACGTACATGTATGCTGTTGTTTAGATTGGTGTTTGATAATTTGGAAGTTTGATACCAGTTCAATTTGTATGTTGGTACATGTAGTTTTTTATGGCAGAATCCCTGTGGCACATGTACTGCAAAGTAACATGAGGGGACACTGTACAGAGTACACTAGTACAATTGACATTTTTTGTTATTCGCTGGTGCTTCACTGTAGGATGACGCAAAGTGAATTGCAAATCTGACTGTGATTGCTATATGCGGTCAAACAAAGTTGATACCTTTTTATCCCTTGAGAAAGCCTACAATGTCTGCCATAGCACTGTCGTAATTTAAGATTTAAGGGCTTTTTGTGTTGTTGCAAAGTAAGGTGTGCTGACGAGATTGTCTTATTGTTTTACAGTGAAGCTCTATGAGGTCATAGAAACTGACAAGACTCTGTACCTTGTCATGGAGTACGCAAGTGGAGGTATGGAAATGTAAAAGTCATATAATCATATATTCTATTTCTTTCTTTTTTCTTTTTTTTTTATCAATAAAAAGGTAGCGCGAGTGCCTCTTAGAAATGCACCACAAAATGTAGGACATGCAGGGCAGGAAAAAAAATGAAATCCAGTTGCACAGTGGGCCAGTACATTTCAGTTTTCAGTTGCTCAACTAAAATATTACTTGCTCAGTAGGCACGTAATGTTCATGCACCTTATCAGCTACATCATTTACCAGGTACTGTCTGTAATCAGTGATAGACTATAGGGTTATGCTCAAGGATTTTAAATTAATCTGTGCTTTCAACTCATTGTTTTGCTCATCTTGCAGTCTTGAGTTTTGAAATTGATTTGATTGGAAATTATCACTAACAAGACTACTGAGGCTAATTTCACTTGCCCTCCTGACCACCAAACTTCCATTTGTACTTGCCCAAGAGCAAAATTTACTTGTCCTGGGCAATCGGACCTGGGGTTTTTTCTGCCCTGACATGTAAAGGATTGAGACTTGCTAGTATGAATTCCCTTTACTCATCAATGACGTGTTTATTTGGCCAGTGTGCTCTTTCCTAATCATTTCTTACATAACTAGTGTAGTGTAATGAATTGAGCCCCCTTATTATTTGTTTTGTAGGTGAAGTTTTCGATTACCTTGTAGCACATGGTAGAATGAAGGAGAAGGAGGCAAGAGCAAAGTTTAGACAGGTATTGATGATTGTTTAGTTTCTTTACCCCTGCATTTCTAATAATAATCTTGGTAATTCTCTAATACTTGATGTTTTCTTTTCTCTCTGTCTTAGATCGTATCTGCTGTGCAGTACTGCCATCAGAAGCATGTTATTCATAGGGATCTCAAGGTATAAGGGAGTAAAGTCTAGATTATTCGAGGTTTAGGGGAATTCATGAACAAGAATAGCAGTTCTTATCAAAATATCACAGAAGAAAAGGGATGCCTTACATTTGCCTATTTCATTAATGGGTTCTCAGTGCCAGATCTCCAAGCACAATGAGCTACCTACAATGCAATTTACGATTGCCTAGTTCATGATCATGACTTATTTTGGTTACCTCTGATTCTTTGCTCAAACGATATCAAATGCCTAGATTTCTAATTGTTGGACCAGAAATGATGATTAATCAGCTGTGTATACTGATATTGGTCCAGTGCCCAGTAAAACTACAGCTTTTCCTCACTACATGTAGTTTTTTTGTACTTTTTGAAGGCTTTTTAAACCAGTAATTCCCAACTTACATCATACACACTGCCAAACAGACATGAAATGAGGATAACAGTAATCATCAACCAGGGAATATTGTGATATCCAAACAGCTTCTCCAAACTATAACTGAAAGACTGGTATGACAACACGCATGGAGAATTCATACCTTGTGAACCTTGCAGGGCAGGAAAAAAATTGAAAATCCATTTGAGGTGGCCAATATGACATTGGGAGGACAAATGTGAACAAAGTATGCTTGGATTTTAAACCAATCCATGCTCTCAACTCGGTGTTTCACTCATCTGGCAGCCTTAAGTCTGAATTAGTTTCTTACTCGAAAACTGACATTTTCACTCAGATCCTTAAGGCTACTGAGGAGTATTTCACATCATTGCTTACTAAACTTATATTATCACTTGCCCAAGAACAAAATTTACTCTCCTCAGGAAATCGGATTTGGGGTTTTTTCCTGCAATAACTTGAGAGTGGTGATGAGTGTATTAAATACTTCTCTTTGTTTCTTCTCTTTCTAGGCTGAAAATTTACTTTTAGACGGAGACATGAACATTAAGATAGCAGACTTTGGTTTTAGTAATGAATTCACTCCAGGCAACAAACTAGATACCTTTTGTGGCAGCCCACCTTATGCAGCACCAGAGCTGTTTCAAGGGAAGAAGTATGACGGCCCAGAGGTTGATGTCTGGAGTTTAGGTGTAATTTTATACACTCTAGTCAGCGGGTCACTTCCATTTGATGGACAAAATTTAAAAGTAAGAATATTTTTGTTTACCGCTGTCATTCTCATCGATTGTGAATTTCGATCTTTTGTTTTGCCAATCCACACGTCTCTGACTTCTGTCCATCAACATTTTAATGGAAAGCGACTTTAAATGTTTCTTTGTAGGAATTAAGAGAAAGAGTACTCCGAGGAAAATATAGGATACCTTTTTATATGTCGACAGGTGAGTCAGTAAACATAAATTTGTTTGAATGGTACTATAGATCAGATCTATACACCCTTACAGTCTATTGGATCTGTTTTATGTTCCCCTTGGTGAATCCCTCTTATAGAGAAAGTCATCTTAAATTTTGAAGATACATAACAACTTTAGAACTGAAGTTTTTTTTGTAGGTTTGAATACTTTTATGCTGTGATAAAATGGTTTTCAACTGCTTTGCATAATGTAATTTGTTTTAATTTGATTTTTTTTCTCTTTTTTCCAAGACTGTGAGAATCTATTAAAGAGATTTTTAGTGCTTAATCCAACAAAACGATCTAGACTAGAGGTGGGTATCTTTGTGTTGTTATTTCCCTTCAGCTGAAGTAGACACTCCTAACAATATCAGTATGTGTATTGGTACTGAGGTGGCAAACTAGAATGAAGAGAATCATCTAACTTATCGTGATGAGCTATCAAATTCTCCAAAGTGACTTAAGCGGTGTAGGCTTACCTTAGAAGAATTGAGATGTCGTGTTTGATGCATGTTTGATGCTTGCAAAAGGAACTTTAGGGTTCTATTTTGTTATCTTGTGTGGATTTGTGTTTCTGATTATTGCTCATACAGTACATTAGGCCATCTTCACTCCTGGTAGGGGGAGCATAGGGTGTCACCCATGGATCTCCACCTGACCCTATTTTTGGTAGTTCTCTCAACCTCTATCCAAGTGATGTTCTTTGTAGTGAGCTAGTAATTATTGCTCATGGTTAGATTTAATTGTAGAGCTTCATTCATTAATGTTAATAATTACTGTATTGGTGGTACTAAAGTTGTAATATCTATTACTCTGTAGCAAATTATGTCAGACAAGTGGATGAATTTAGGATATGATAATCAAGATCTTAAACCGTATAGTGAACCTACACCTGATTTTAAAGATGAAAGAAGAATAGGTAAGGAGTTTATAAAAGCAGGTACTTGTAGGTGTATACTGTTGTTTGACTATATTGTTCAAAATGTAATTCCAACTTTTTTTATGTTCAGAAATTATGCTTCAAATGGGATTTTCAAGAGATGAGATCCAGGAAGCTTTGTCAAACAATAGATATGATGAGGTCATGGCCACGTACCTCCTCTTGGATGAGAGAAGGCAAAAATTAACAGTGAGTTATCTTAGCTTTGTGACTCTGAATTTAGTTCCATAATAGACCATTTCCGAGTTGCCTTTTGCCTCTGCATCAAAACGAGTCCTCATGTAGAACCATTTTCGTGAAAATTAGTTTGATTTACATGAAAATGAACCTGTAGAGGGAACACATTTTCATATGAATGGTTTTGCTCGAAGGCTCATTTTGACACAGAGGCAGAATGCAACTCAGAAATGACCTATTCCGTAACCAATCCCAAAACATCTCATTTCTTTTGACAGTATCATAGAAATGTCAGTATGTTAAGAGACAATTCAGTCATTTATTTGCTTACAGTNTTGGTGGTACTAAAGTTGTAATATCTATTACTCTGTAGCAAATTATGTCAGACAAGTGGATGAATTTAGGATATGATAATCAAGATCTTAAACCGTATAGTGAACCTACACCTGATTTTAAAGATGAAAGAAGAATAGGTAAGGAGTTTATAAAAGCAGGTACTTGTAGGTGTATACTGTTGTTTGACTATATTGTTCAAAATGTAATTCCAACTTTTTTTATGTTCAGAAATTATGCTTCAAATGGGATTTTCAAGAGATGAGATCCAGGAAGCTTTGTCAAACAATAGATATGATGAGGTCATGGCCACGTACCTCCTCTTGGATGAGAGAAGGCAAAAATTAACAGTGAGTAATCTTAGCTTTGTGACTCTGAATTTAGTTCCATGATAGACCATTTCCAAGTTGCCTTTTGCCTCTGTGTCAAAGTGAGTCCTGATGTAGAACCATTTACGTGAAAATTAGTTTGATTTACATGAAAATGAACGGGTAGAGGGAACATATTTTCATATGAATGGTTTTGCTCGAAGTCTCATTTTGACACAGAGGCAAAATGCAACTCGGAAATGACCTATTCTGTAACCGGTCCCAAAACATCTAATTTCTTTTGACAGTATCATAGAAATGTCAGTATGTTAAGAGACAATTCAGTCATTTATTTGCTTACAGTTGAATGGCTCCAGTGACCCACTGATGGAAAACACTAGTGCACCAAGACCAAGTACATCTATGCCGTCTGGTGTGCCTGCTCCTATTCGGCCAAGCCGAGCCAGTGCGAGGCGGGAGAGAGGAGATCGTGAATTACCTAGAAGGTATACTGAAGGTCGCACTCCTCATAAAACAGGCCCTGGTATAAGCAGGCAAGCATGATTAGGTTGCACCCTATCTAATTTTGTACTAACCTTTTATTTTGATGTTATTTTTATTTCTCTCTGTATTCTTCCTAAAATAACGTTGAGTTCATTTTCAACTTCTGTTTTATATTGGAAATGTTCTCCCTCCGCTTACTAGTTAANGAGGAGGTGGTGGGGAAGTGAAATCATTTTGTCACTTGTGTAAGTCCTAGACACTATTTTAATTGTAATCTGTTCAGTCATACCAAGGTGTAGTTAAAGTTTAGGCTTGTTTGTGATGCGTTGACTGTTACTGAAGATAGGCTTGTGTAATTTTGATGTTGAATTATCACAAGCAGTGTTACTCCTTAATTGCCCTTGCATTGATAGAATGTAGGATAACCAATGCTAAACATTTTCAACAGAGCTGCTACTGAAGCAGGTGGAACAGTATCAAGTCAAGCAAAACCTATGGGCAGAGGAGAGCGGGATCGGGACAGAGGTGGTGTGATAAAGAACGCCGTTCCCAACGACGAGCGAGTGCCGTCATCTATTGGACGAGCTTCCAATCCTAACAAGGCCGAAATACCTGAACGTGCAGCAGATAGAAATCGAAGAGGAAAGACGCAAAGGGTTAGTTCTACAAGAATGGTTAAAATCTTTGTTGTCCTTACAGTAAATCTGTAATGTTACAATTTCTTACCGACTTCAAAATGACAATTAAGAGGTAGAAGCATTGCCAGTGTCTGATATTGGCAAACTGGTGATTTGATTGACCGCTCAGGACCCTAGATCACCATTTGGATGAAATCCCTGCTATTTCTGAAAAGTGGTTTTATCAATATGGTAAACTAATTTTACTGCTCAATCTTGGTTTCTTCTGACTTTGACAAATGGCTCAGAGCTTTACTCCTCGCCAAGTACCAGTCTACAGTATAGGAGCCTTCAGCTTGTGCAGAGCTTGCACAGTTCACTTGTTAATAAGCATTGATACCTGAAGCTGTGGTGGTCAATATGCTGATTTGAACTTATCATGTTATTTAGCAACACAGTATGCCACCAGGAATTATCAGAAGAAACACATATGTTTATGGGGAGAAACGGGCNTCACTTGTGTAAGTCCTAGACACTATTTTAATTGTAATCTGTTCAGTCATACCAAGGTGTAGTTAAAGTTTAGGCTTGTTTGTGATGCGTTGACTGTTACTGAAGATAGGCTTGTGTAATTTTGATGTTGAATTATCACAAGCAGTGTTACTCCTTAATTGCCCTTGCATTGATAGAATGTAGGATAACCAATGCTAAACATTTTCAACAGAGCTGCTACTGAAGCAGGTGGAACAGTATCAAGTCAAGCAAAACCTATGGGCAGAGGAGAGCGGGATCGGGACAGAGGTGGTGTGATAAAGAACGCCGTTCCCAACGACGAGCGAGTGCCGTCATCTATTGGACGAGCTTCCAATCCTAACAAGGCCGAAATACCTGAACGTGCAGCAGATAGAAATCGAAGAGGAAAGACGCAAAGGGTTAGTTCTACAAGAATGGTTAAAATCTTTGTTGTCCTTACAGTAAATCTGTAATGTTACAATTTCTTACCGACTTCAAAATGACAATTAAGAGGTAGAAGCATTGCCAGTGTCTGATATTGGCAAACTGGTGATTTGATTGACCGCTCAGGACCCTAGATCACCATTCGGATAAAATCCCTGCTATTTCTGAAAAGTGGTTTTATCAATATGGTAAACTAATTACTGCTCAATCTCGGTTTCTTCTAACTCTGACAAATGGCTCAGAGCTTTACTCCTCGCCAAGCACCAGTCTACAGCATAGGAGCCTTCAGCTTGCACAGAGCTTGCACAGTTCACTTGTTAACAAGCATTGATACCCAAAGCTGTGGTGATCAATATGCTGATTTGAAGTTATCATATTATTTTAGCAACACAGTATGCCACCAGGAATTATCAGAAGAAACACATATGTTTATGGGGAGAAACGGGCAGAAGAGAGGAACAGCACATCACAAACACCATCAAGTCAGGCAAATGGGAAAGGAGAAAGGTTTGTGACCAACATTTAAAAACGGCATAAATACCCCACTGTATCTGCTGCCGCAGTTTTGTCTTGATGTTGTAGTTACCTGTATATGTCAGTCTGCCAAGTCAGTACTGCAGTTCCACATTTGGGTTTTAAGAATGGTAAAAAGGCCAGAATGAAAAGTATGAAAGTTATAGTAAGTGCAGTAGGGAAGAAAAGTAATCAACAAGACATTCAAACACTACAGCATGTGCATTATTACATTTGTACATGTGCCATTGCAAATGCAAACCTCTAGCATCTTTGTTATAACTTCTTCCTTTAGAATGTCTTCTTGCTTCTTATAATACTGGTGTCCTCTCTCTTGTAAACTTGGGTAAATCTGCAAAGCTCTTCCGAAGAAGTCAATCTCTTATCTTTTCGTTTCTCTGCCTTTCTATTAGTGCAACAGAACCCGGCCCTAGTGGCAGTAGCGTGGGTGCTGGCAGACCCACTTCTAAGCAACCTCCACCAGATCTTGGTAACAGGTTATCACCCACACGTAGATCTCTTCCACCAGTTGCTATTCACCAGGAAAATAGGCATAGAGCCGGGTGAGTGTGCTCTGTCCGTAATTACTTTAGTTTCAAAGAGTGATCTATGACAAGCACAGTATTGTTGCCCTGTTTCAAGTCAGCGTTATTTGGTCACCATGCAATATTCCTCCTGACTGATAGCCACTTTGTGCAGTCTGCTATTTCCTTGTGAAAGATTCATCTGTGATTCAACCCAAAGAAAACAACACTGACAGTATTGCAGCTCAACAGAGATCTGTTGTGTGTCTGGATTGATTGTTGTGCACAGAGACTCAAGAGCAATCAACAGCCTGTTAGAGACAATGCACAGATCTTTGTAGACATTTGTCATCCGAATTGAAGTTTTTGGATTGAATCATGGAAATCTTTTATGAGGAATGAGTGGGTGAAAACAGGTGGCTATTCAGTACTTCTCTAAAATTCATTTTTTGAAAAAAAAAAAAAAAAGGAAAAAGAAAAAAAGAAAAGAATACCACATCTGGGAGGCGTGATTCAGATTGATTTATTTCCACATCCTATCCACCAGCCATAGTCATTACTATCCATTGTTGCTCAAGGTATAAATTTACTTTTTTAAAATATTGCTTGGTCAACTTCGGTACATGTTCCTAATTGCCAGTTTTTACTATGGAATTTAATGGCAATGACTTGCTAATGTCAGCTGAAAATTGAACTGCATGTTTTTCTTTACTGCTGCTGTTAAAAATTCTTTCCGACATGCATTCATTTGTGCAACTTTAAGTTTGGGTAAAAGTGCTGAAACTTAATCTTTTTCTTGCATCCAATATCATCTCACATTGTACGTGTATTTTATATGGGTGTAGTTTTGAATGAACATTACTACTCTACTTTTGATTTTCCTATTGTTTTCCAGAAATACATTTCTGTACTTCTTATGACAAGGCAACTTTGAAATTAACTTGATATTTTTCCTTGTACTTATTTCTGTCCTTTAATTTTTATTATCACCATTTGTTTCTTCCAGGAGGACAAATCCCAACTCTGAAGTTCAACCTCCACAGTCGCGGCTTGGAACTAGAAACATGACAGCGCGGAGTACTTTCCATAGCGGTCAGACACGACCTCGCACCCAAAATGGGCCCGAGAGAGCTAATGATCCTTTGGGCCCTGGTGGGAGACCCTCACTTCTTAGTAAGCTTACGTCCAGATTTAGTAAGAGGTATGTATTACTACCAAAAATTATACTCTCTTTGTGGATTGTTTGGTAAAATACAAATTTCTCACTTATCAACTTTCAAAAAATACATGTATGATGTTGGAAAC